GACATGCAAATCATTTCGCTGAGCGGCAACTTCTGCTGCGACAAAAAGCCCGCGGCCATCAATTGGATCAAGGGGCGTGGCAAACGTGTAGTCGCCGAGTGTACCATACCAGCAGCCACACTGCGTTCGGTGCTGAAAACGGACGCCAAGACGCTGGTCGAATGCAACAAGCTGAAGAACATGTCCGGCAGTGCCATGGCCGGCAGCATCGGTGGCAACAATGCACATGCGGCCAATATGGTGACAGCTGTATTTCTGGCTACCGGCCAGGATCCCGCTCAGAATGTCACATCAAGTAATTGCTCCACGGCCATGGAGTGTTGGCCCGAGAACGATGAGGATTTGTATATGACCTGCACCATGCCCTCGCTGGAGGTGGGCACCGTGGGCGGCGGCACTGGACTGCCCGGCCAGGGTGCCTGCCTCGACATGCTGGGCGTGCGTGGCGCACATTTCACGCAGCCCGGCGAAAATGCCAAGAAACTGGCGCAAATTGTCTGTGCCACGGTCATGGCCGGTGAGCTGAGCCTAATGGCAGCGCTGGTCAACAGCGATCTAGTCAAGAGCCACATGCGCCACAATCGGTAAGTGCAAGCCAAGCAATGTTCAGCGCTCGTTTTGCACGATATCATCAATTTTTTTTTAATTCTGTTGTCATTTCACTTTTAGGTCATCCATTGCCGTGAGCAGCGCCAACAATCCGCTCAACGTGACCGTCTCCAGTTGCAGCACAATCAGCTAGAACTGACGCCGCATTCACCTCCTGTACATAGGCGCTCAGTTCGAGTGAAGTTAAAATTCTTTTGTTCAAACGAATGCTTATTGAATTAATTATTGTAATTATAATTGTAATTAATCCAATTGGCCAGGCCAAGCAGCAGCAGCATTAAGCAATTGTTCAAAGCCAAAGCCTTTTGTGTGCGTATGCGATTGATTTGTTGTAATTGTTAAAACTAGTATCAAGTAGAACGCAGCCTGGGATTCGTTGTTGTTGCAATTTCCATTTAGTTTATACGAATGCCTATATATATATATATATCTATATATAAATTGATGTGTGTGTACGATAATGAGCCTATTTTTTCTACAAACATATTTCTAGTGCAAGCGCAAAACTTGTAAAAAGTATTCCTTAAGCGAATTAGTTTTAGTGACTAAGATTTAAAAGAGAAAAGGGTGGCTTTTTTTTTAATAGAACAGACAGATTGCGAAGCGGAATGCAAATGAAAAATTAAATACAAAATGTAATCGATAAATGTCATTTATAGACGCTGCGCCCGGGCTTACAAATCGGAACTCCATTTATTTTACTTTAATAATAATTATTAATAAATTATTATAATTAATTTATAATAATTCACAATGCGTTTTATTTAGTTTGTTGTGAAATGGTTTTTCATTTGTGTGTTTTCAAACAAAAACTAAAATAAAATAAAAAGTGGGAAAAAAAGAACGAAACATACGCCAGCTAATTTTAAGCCCTCTCCTCCTCGGGTATCTCCTTGGGCTCTGCCTCGGCATCACTGTCTGCCGCAGACACCACAACATCCACACTGCTGTCCGCCAGCATGAGCGCCTTCTTTGGGCTGGGCTCGTTGCTATCCGCCTCAGCAATGGCTGTAGTTGAGCCAGCGGTCGGCACTGGATTGGCCACACCACCGACAGCTTCATCCTCGTCATCATCGTTGGTTGTAGATTCGGGCTGTACACTGACTGTGCACGGTTCAGATGAAATGCCATTTTTAGCTTCCGCCATGGCGCACTCGTCAGGGTGCGTCAGCTTGCGTTTGGCAATGCGCTCACTTAACGCTTTGTGCACCTGTGCAATGTCTGCAGGTCGGCCCATGGCCAAGAAGATCTTAACAGTGCCCGTGTTATCCATAGCTGTGAGACGTAGTGATTTCTGGCTAGCGCGTTCGGCCACCATTGCCGCCCAGACTTTAGTATTCACCAGCAGGCGCAAGTTGCCCGAAGTGCGGAAGACGACGCGCGAACAGTCACGTTCATCCTTGGCATCGTTTAGGCGCAGACTGCCACGTCCACGCTCCTCCCAGTTGCTGCTGACAAATGCAAACAGCTTGCAGCTAACATCGGCAATATTGATTTCGTTCTCCTCGCCGGTAAAGGTCTCTACCTCCTCGTATTTGCGTTTCTGGGCACGGCTCTCCTCGTACTCCCGCGCCACATCGTTGAGGCTCTTTGCTTCGGACGTGTCCTTGTTGTTGTCTGTGGATTGGGCAGCCTTCTGAATAACGCTGGAAAATAGCAGCTGCGATGAGGTCGCTTCCGCCGTACCCGACGATGCAGCTTCTGCATTCGATTCTGTGCTTACGTTTTCCTGCAATAAATTTCGCATATATATTTTTTTTACAGATTAAACGTATCGCAACTTACCCCCACGACCCGTTCGTGTACGTTCTGACCGAAAATAAATCCACTTGTCTGAACACGCGGCAAGGTGGTTTTGGCCGCTGCAAATATGTTGGAACGATCGATGCCATTGTTGCGCAGCATTGACAGCGGATCCGGCCGCTCATCAATTTCATCGTCATCTTTATCAATATTCTCTGTGGACTCAACCACTTGCGCGGCCGCCTCATCTTCCTCTTCCTTCTGCTCACGTAAAAACGGATTGCCTACAATGCCATCTTCATCAGTCTTCTCGTTTCCGCCGGCTAACGCTGTGGAGCTATTGTTGCTGTTGGTATTGCTATGAGCCGAGCCCAATACTGAACTGTCACCCAGCACAGCTGGCCGCAACACGGCTCCACCTAGCCGCGACGCTTTTAAAGTAAAACCGCCTCTGAAGCAATTGGCTTCAAGCGACGCCTCTACAAAATACATGAACAAGGAGGATATTGTATTTGACTTTAGCTTTACATTCGCTGATTTTTGCACAGACAAAGGCACATAGAACGTGTCAGAGAACCATGTGCACGTCTAGAAATATATTTTGGTTTGGCTAGCACACTTACCATTATTTTCGGACATGGCAATCGAAATTTATGTTTATGATTTATAGTTTGGCAAAAATTTTTTACAAGAAAAAAGCGTTCTCCTCAAGCCTAAAACAGTCTTGTAAAACGCCTGACTATCGATATACTGATAGCATTGTGCTCGTCTTAACACCGATAATATTTGATAATTTTACAGCACACTTAGCTGTCAAACTCGGCAAAGGCTGGAAAAAACACGAAAATTTACAAGTCATCGACTAAAAAGGCAAAGCAAAGAAATCAGCTAGCCACAGCAAAAGTTTTATTTAAGCAAGTTTATTAACAAAGCAAATTGACGAAAAATGGCCCAAACACTTGAGGATAAATCAATATGGGAAGATGGCGAGGAGTCGCTGGGCGAAGAGGTGCTGCGTATGTCCACTGATGAGATTGTGAGCAGGACTCGCCTGATGGACAACGAAATCAAAATAATGAAGAGCGAAGTAATGCGAATCACACACGAAATTCAAGCGCAAAACGAGAAAATCAAAGACAACACAGAAAAGATCAAGGTATATAATACCAATAAATTAATATGCAACCAAAAATTGTAGCGTATACGAACATCTGTTTTAGGTTAACAAAACTCTGCCATATCTGGTGTCCAATGTCATTGAGCTACTGGATGTGGATCCGCAAGAAGAGGAAGACGATGGTTCTGTTACCGTGCTAGACAATCAGCGCAAAGGAAAATGTGCCGTTATCAAAACATCAACGCGTCAGGCGTATTTCTTGCCAGTCATTGGCCTAGTCGATGCCGAGAAACTCAAACCCGGTGACCTGGTTGGCGTCAACAAGGACTCTTATCTGATTCTGGAAACTCTGCCAGCTGAGTATGATGCTCGTGTTAAAGCTATGGAAGTCGATGAGCGTCCTACAGAGCAGTATTCCGATATTGGTGGCCTGGATAAACAGATCCAGGAGCTCATTGAAGCCGTGGTGTTGCCCATGACACATAAGGAAAAGTTCAAGAATCTGGGAATTCATCCACCAAAAGGTTAGTACGATTGCACTCTACTAAAAGTGACCAACTAAAACTTTATCCATAGGTGTTCTATTGTACGGCCCACCCGGAACTGGCAAGACTCTGCTCGCCCGTGCTTGCGCTGCCCAAACAAAGTCAACTTTCCTGAAGCTGGCTGGTCCGCAGCTGGTTCAAATGTTTATTGGTGATGGCGCCAAGCTTGTGCGCGATGCCTTTGCGCTGGCCAAGGAGAAGGCACCCGCCATCATTTTCATTGATGAATTGGATGCCATTGGCACAAAGCGTTTCGATTCGGAGAAGGCTGGTGATCGTGAGGTGCAGCGTACCATGTTGGAGCTGCTGAATCAGTTGGACGGTTTTAGCTCGACTGCGGATATTAAGGTCATTGCTGCTACGAATCGTGTTGATATTCTTGATCCCGCCCTGTTGCGGTCCGGCCGTTTGGATCGTAAAATCGAGTTCCCACACCCGAATGAAGAAGCACGTGCGCGCATTATGCAAATCCACTCACGTAAAATGAATGTCAGCAACGATGTAAACTTTGAGGAGCTATCCCGTTCCACAGACGATTTCAATGGCGCCCAATGCAAGGCAGTGTGCGTAGAGGCAGGCATGATTGCCCTGCGTCGCTCTGCCACATCGGTTACGCACGAGGACTTCATGGATGCCATCATGGAGGTGCAGTCCAAAAAGAAAGCTAATCTTAACTACTATGCCTAGGCTAAAACTTCGCAAATTAAATTTACTTGTAATCTTGCAAACGCGTCAACAATAAAACACATATTATATTAAACATTAACAAGAAAAGAAAAAAACATTGGTTTCTGGCCAAATTTATCTTTAGGAATCGTATCGCATGGATAAGCAGTTTTATCAGTACAACACATATATATTTTTTTGAGTAAGAAATTTCTGACTTTTAAATATCTAAAAATTCAATTCAGAAATAATAAAAAATAGATGATAAATATTTACATGGTCACTAATTAAACTAGGGATGATTAACCAATTCGTTAAGACTAATCAGTGGGATCGAGTGCGTTGCTGCTGCTGCTCGTCCCTGCGGATGAGCTGGCTGTTGCCACAGTCGAAGCTGCTGGTGTCGCAGAAGCTCCAACGGACGCTGGTTGAGCCGCTGGAGTTGCATTAACGGCAACAGCTGCTATATCATTAGCTGGCGGCTGCGGGGGCTGTGCAGGCTGCTCGGGCTGTTGGAATGGTCGTCTAGTATACATTATAATGCCCAGTAATAAGGTCAGTATGGTGATCATATATAAATCCCAATTGGCAGCAATGTTTTCATCCATATAAAAGATGAATCTGTATGGCGACTAAGGAAAATCGATTAGAGTGGGCCCCTAGTTGGCAATTTGAATATCTTACTTGTTTTATTGATTCCATCTTAGCTAGCATCTGAAGCTTGAAAAGCGCAATAGCTACAGGAACTTTGGCATCCGAGTTCGTTTCGGCTGCCAAATCATATAATCTCTTGGCCAAATGCCAATCCTTCTTCATGCCCAGGCCCTGCTCGTGCATATAGCCCAAATTAAACATAGCCTGTGCATTGTACTGCTGATCTGAAGCTTTCCTATCATAAAATTAAAAAACAAAATTATTAAAATCTGATGAATGATTTAAGATTTACGCACCTATAAAGAGCTGCAGCAGTTTCAAAATCCGTTTTTGTTCCCCAGCCATAGTAGTAGTAATCGCCCAGCTTAACTTGGGCCGCCGAATAGCCCTGGCCGGCAGCTCGTTTCCAGTAGTAAAATGCGCGGATCAATTCCTCGTGACGATCATTAAACACATGCACCTCCTCGCGATCTAGCAGAAAAGCTGCATTGCTTTGGGCCACCTCGTAGCCTACTTCAGCCATTAGGGAATACTGCATGTAGGCCTCATCGATGCGATTCTGCTTGTAGTCACTGTAGGCGTGCATTAATCTACTGCTCCATCGACCACGTTCCGCCACGTTTTTAAAGAACTGCAATAATCAATAGATAATATCACCAGACCTGAATAGCTATCGTAAGCTATAAATTAGCTGTAGAACCTACCTCAACAGCAGCTGGGCAGGATCGCAGCATGCCCATGCCGTATGCATGCATAATGCCCAAATTGTAGTACGCCAAAACATGGCCCGACTGTGTGGCCAAGTTGAAATACTTGAGCGCCAGTTTGTAGTCCGTCTTGACGCCATTGCCAGCTGGAATTAAATAGTAAATAAATCAATATTTCTTCATAATTTTCGATACTTATCAATGAGGAAGAGTTGTAGTAGGGGTGTCAACGAAAAAAAAATTATTGAAAATGATTAGCAGATTTATACGCAAAAATATTATTATACAAAAACTCAACTTCAATCTAAGATATAGTTGTCCGATGTTGATAAGATTGTTCGTATGGTAAAATACTAATAAAGTTTGCTCAATAAAAATTAAAACTCAAAACAGCTTTTCATGCAAGAAAAATGAACATGATACTTTGGTCCGATCCCGCAGAAATCATGTCAAGGTTAATCGAGATAATCTTAAAATTGAGTAGATAGTACTCATAAAAACAAACAGACAGACGGACATACCAACTCAACCGGATTATGAAAATACATTTTCGGAACGGAAATGTTTTTGATGCGTTACACATTTCATGACAGAACTATAATACTCTTTTTAAGGGTATAGATAACTGAATAACTTACTAAAGTACATGGTGCCTAGCTGCAATTGTCCATCAACCCAGCCTTGGTCAGCAGCCTGTGTGAAGTACGACAAAGCCTTGATAGAGTCTTTGGGCACACCAAGACCCTTCAGATACATGAGTCCTAGACCGCTCTGGCCTACAGGATCACCCATTTCGGATGCCTTAGAGAAGTACTATTAATCGAAAGGAAAATTACGATTATTTACATTTAAAAAAGATTTTTAGATAGTTTCCTGTCTCACCTTAAAAGCCGTTTCGTTATCCGCCTTGATTTGCTCACTACCCTCCAGATAGAGCTTGCCCAGAAAGGCAAAACCTATAGCATTGCCTGCATTGGCGGCAAGCGTAAAATATTCCAATGCCTTTTGATGATCCTGCTGAATAGCCTTGCCGCCTTGGTAGTACAACTGACCCAAGCCCACCTGGGACTGCACATCGCCCTTATCAGCCAACAGCTGATAGTAGTCGACAATTTCAGTCTCGTGACTGCCTGGGTTCTCTAGCTCATCTAGCAGCCGGACTCGATGCACCACCGGTCCATTCGCGAACGTTATTTTGGAAGCTACCTTCTTGGCCACACGCTTATATTGAATCAAAGCCTTCTCGCAGCTGGTGGGCACATTGATGCCGTACAAATAGCGATACCCCATGGCCATTTGGGCGAGCGTATTGTCGCCAAGAGCTGCCAGCGTATAGTGCAGTAGAGCCAGCGGTTGGCTGACATTCTTGCCACCCACGCCCGCTGAGTACAAAAAGCCAAGACCCATGTGAGCTTCGGCTACTCCTTCGTTTGCCAAGCTCTCGAACTCGTCGGCGGCGTGGTGAAAATCAAATGCCATCCAATGACCCAAGAGAACGGCCCAGGCCAGTTCTGCGCGTGCCTTAAGATGATTGAATGCGGCCGCCTTTCGCAACAGTGTGAATGCAACGCGTTTATCAGTGCGCGGCTTAGCCAGCATCTCCATGGCGTTCTCGTAAAGGCTCTGAGCTGTAATTTAAATATTGCAATACTGGAACGCTTTTGCTATTGAATTACTTACCCTCCATCTGTTCGGGAGTCCGCTCGACAGCTTCAGCGGGAGTTTGCCCTGCTTCAATTTTTTCGATTTGAGCTTTCAGTTTTTGCTGCTTCATTAGACTGTCGTTCCATAAGCGCTCCAGTACTGCAGCTGGCATTAGTTTAGTGCGCGGCGCGAACTCCTTGTCCTTGTCCTTAAGCTTGGCCGCTTTGCGATCGTTGCTGCCTGGTGCTGTTGCTGACGAGGATAGGTCGACGGGAGGAGCCTTAGCGTCTTTCTCGGCTGTTGTTATCTCGTCGGCCTCAGTCTTGCTCTGACTATGTGGCTCCGTGGAGCTAACGGCCTCTGGCTCGGAAATTGCTGTCGTGCTGGCGCTTTCGGAGAGTGGACCCTGCAGCTCCGCCCGCAAGAGGTGGCTGCACTGAACCAACAGGAGCATCGAAATGCACATTATGCTTGGCAGTCTCATCATATGGAACGTGTCTCTGTCTTTGCCGCAAAAAAGATAAGCGATAAATATACTAAAAATTTTGGTAGTCTTTTCTTGCCTCTTTAGGTCTGACGTGTTGTGTTATTTACTTTTTCTTTTGTGCACACACTGATTGTTTTTTCACCGTTTGATAGGGCTTAGTGCTTCCAGTCCAGTTTATCGCTGGCGCATTTTATACCAGTGCAGTTGGTTTAATTGTTGGCCTATTTGCCCCTTGACAGCTTTAGTAATTTTCACACGTAAGATTAAAGAACCTTTCATTTGTTGCAACAATAATTACTGCCCAGTGTTGTGAACGACGCAATGGCAGAGATGAGCAACAATGTGATTTTAAATCGGCGAACTGTCACAACTGTCATTTGTGTTCATGTGTTTTTTATTGTTAAGTGGAATACAAATTTATTTTAATCTCAAATTTATAGTTAAGCGTTGTGTGAGTATAGAAAAGTAGTTTTTAAGCAACCCATTAAAATGTTAACCCAATTCTCACATGAGCTGCGAGTAGAAAATAGTAACAAGTTCTCAGTCCCTTTTCATTTTTACCAATGTAAGCGTGATTTTATTAGATATGTTAGTATTATTGCATGTTAATACTTGTGCGCGATAGCTGCTATGTTATCTCTAAGAACAGTGACTGATTTACCGATATGCTCACCTTAGTGAGCCAGTGTTAAGAAACTTTGTAACATGAGCTTTGCTTGTTTTTGTTGTTCCATTTCATAATGCAAATGCCTGAAACAGCAGCACGAAAATTAGAGTGATAATTCGTGAATATACTAATTAATATACGAGGAAGCATTGTTAGGGTGTGACTCATTGTTCTTTTGAACCGGAGAAGCTCGAAAAAACGGCATGGAGATGAGTGTAAGTTACGACTGCGGCTGCAAGCCAGCCCCTGGCACTGCGCTCAACAACATCAATGAAACCAGTTCCAAGCCGCGCTCCAAGCGACTCAGACAGTCACGCATTAAATTATTCATGCTTAACTTCGTAAGCTGGTGAAAGTTTACAGCTGTTGCAGTCCGTACTCTAGACCCGAAAACGTAGAGCGTCAATTATTAATCCCACACCTCTCCCTACCCACCTGTGTATCAATTAAAGGCGGCTATGCTTGCTCGTGTTTCCTTTTATCCGACGCTGCTCTACAATGTCCTTATGGAAAGGGCAACGGCAAGGAATTGGTACGATCGCATTGATGAGAATGTTATACTTGGAGCGCTGCCCTTTCGAAGCCAGGCAAATGACGTAAGTTACGCGACTCGAGACCAAACAAACTTTATAATGATTTTGTTAAATCTATCAAAACTCAAAAAAAAAAAAAATAAATAAAAAACCCAATAACTTATAAAAAATTCTCAACAGTTAATCGAAAAGGAAAACATGAAAGCTGTCGTGTCAATGAACGAAGATTACGAGCTTACCGCGTTTTCAAACGACTCGCCCAAATGGAAAGCCCTTGGCATTGAGTTCCTACAACTAGCTACTACCGACATATTTGAATCACCCAACCAAGAGAAGCTCTACCGTGGCGTCGAGTTTATCAATCGCTTCTTGCCATTGTCAAAGCGCATAGCCAAAATAAACTCGTCGCAATATGCCGAAAATATTGGTTCGGTTTATGTGCACTGCAAGGCGGGACGCACACGTAGCGCCACCTTGGTGGGTTGTTATCTTATGCTGGTACGTAAAATATCTCAGGCGTTGACAAGTCAAAGCTTTTGTTTAATTGTTCGCATTATTTTTAGAAAAACGGCTGGACCCCAGATCAAGCTGTGGACCACATGCGTCAATGTCGTCCACATATCTTGCTGCACACCAAACAATGGGACGCGCTTAGAATATTTTATGCAAATAACGTAGAGGCCAAGTCATGACCCAACCCTGATAACAGCCGTTGAAAGTTTATTAAATACGTAACATATGGTGCCAGTTTCTGATTTTGCTACCATTACCAAAAACTAATTAGTGCTTTTTCATGTAAAACGATGTTTTAAATACAATTTTGTTAAAATACGAGTTACAAGTTATTTTTATTTATTGCTAATGACTAAGAAGCAATCGTCGAGTCGCTGTACACAATTAGTTAACGGGTTCGCCATTCTCTGGTAGGCAATTAAGCTTTGTTTTCGGAATCCTTTCCCTTGATAGCCCAAAAGCGCTTAATACCATTGGCCAGACCGACGTCATTCTTGATAAAGTAAAATAGGCCTCCCAATGTGGCAACAGAAATTATGATAAGAGCAATGTGAGCAACTTTTGGTAAAACATTGCCGACGACACCTGGACGCAGGTAGTCGACTACCATAGCTTCAACGCCCCTGTAAAATGAGTTTTAATTGTTGTAATTGTATGCTGGCCTCGAACTGTTCATCTTACCAATGGGTGTGAATAACTACAGAGATCGCCAAAAGGGCGTCCAAAACCTGCGAAGGGGCGGCAAAAGCTGCAGGAATAACTGCCAACAGGCCAACAGACACTAAGCGCTCAAGCGTCCACAAGCCTGTGTGGTTACTAGTATCGGAAGCCATTCGGGGAGCGCTCACTGAAATCTGTCGCATCGCCAGGGGCTGAAATATCGGATTAACCAATTAAATTAAAACCACTTGATTGATTCTCAAATAAATACCGCTACTTGCTTGGCCAGCACAACAGGCTTTGTCAGAGCTTGGCGTTGCGTGTTGGCCACAATTGTCGAGTAGGCCTTCAGCGGCGAGAGACGCACGGATTTAATAAGGCTTGCAGCTGTCGGTATGCCAAACGACAAGGTTATATAATAAGAATAGTGGTCGGATAAAATTCGTATATTTACAGTTAAATGCAATACTTACCATTGCCACGTCCAACGCCACGCAGTAGCACAGAAGACAACATGTTTATTATTTTGTACAATCGAAAATTTTGAGCAAAATATAAAAACACTTATTGGCTTGAACAACCACAGCCGACTTTTACAAAATTTCGCAGCACTGAAAACGTCGAGGCCTACTATTTATCGATGGGGGTGAGAGCTATCGTATAGAGTTATCGGTTCCACCCAATATATGTATGTTTGAAATAAAATATTTTGAAATCAAATATTAAATGTATTACGATTCGGAGATTTGCATACATCGATTAAGTTGGTAAAGGTACTGCCATAATAAAAAAAAGGGATAGATATTGTAATATTTATTTAGCAGCTGTAGTAGTTTGTACAAAAACATTTGAGATTCTTTTGTGGACGGAATGCAAGTGTTGCAGAGATTTGTAAATCTGCATAATAATGAGTTGTAAAACCTCCAATTATGTGTGTACTTATAAACTACATAGATATGTTGAAAAAATTTCGTTAATTTCATTGCATTTTTAAGGCACATTATTAGATATTTCTAAAAGGGCACTTTTCGGCTCGGATATGATGGATGGTACTGAACAAATTATTCTAAACTTATTAAGCGACTAAATACCTGGCTAGTATATAAATTGCGCTGATGGCACAAACGACCGGCACACTAATAAGGGAAGCCAAACGATTTGCGCCGGCCTTGTAAAAGTCCCAATCAAACACAATATTCGAAGCATCTGACGGTCTCCAAGGATTGAAACCATCGTCGAAATACATTGGACAGTCGTCGCGTTCACGTTCGTACTCAACGGCATCTATGGCGACTGCAGCGCCTTCAGAGTGATTCCACGAGGTCACGTCTTGGTTAAGCTTGCAGAATGCGCCCACTGCCTGGGACATGAGGACACGGTTTAGGTCGGCGCGTTGATATACCCAACAACGGTATTTGGATAGCGGATCCAAATCATCGTAGGTAATTAAATAGGATTTCAGATTTTCCTTCCAAAAGCCAATGCATTTCATGCGGTAATCTGGATCACTGTAGATATCAACAGGTCGGCCCAAATGATCCACAGACAAGCAATAGTTCTCATCGACAGCCAATTCCTTTTGGTCTGTATCGCAAACTGATAAATCAGATATGTTTTGCTTGCAGTGGATATCGGGACGTGGACTCAGAGTAACGCCACCAAGAATTCTAAAAGTATATAATTGAATAAGGTACATATTTCTATTAAATGTAAAGTTAATTGCTAACCTTGTTCTAAAGGGATGCTCGCCTCTTTGGGTGAAATTGAACTTGCCAGCGACTGGACAACGGACAGAAACCGGGTTTTTCGCTAAGAACAAATCGTATTTCCAAGCCTCTGAATTAGGAAATTGTACCCAAGAGCAGACTGTGCTGAAATCATCCTTGATTACAGCTAAGCCCTTGCGATAGCGTATAATATTGTGATGTCTGGGCATAAAGTCAAAGCACACGTAATCCTTTTGGCAACCATCGACGGTGAGACGCGCCATCATAACACGATTGCCCCGACGCTCGCGGCACACGTAAATTGTCTTACGGTATCGTGCTCTATCTGGATAATATGTCTCATTTATGTGCGTTTCACTGATAGACACATCGGCATCAATGTTAGCCGTGTTCACCCATTCGCCAGAGAAATTCTGGGGAAGCGTACAGCCGGGCTCAACAAATTCAGCCTTAACTGGGGTAAGTTTAAGACGCTCTGGCGAGTTTTCGGGTGTTTTGAGTGTATTGCACTCGGCAGTGATGGAGACACCCACATAAAGATCATCGTCACGATTCTTGAGGAAGCAACGGTATTTTTCATCCTTACGCGACTCTTTTGTATTGGCAACAGCAAAATAATGATTTTTTCCCACAAACCAATCGCCCAAGCAGCTAAACTCTACGGTGCCGCTGAAGGTGCCCTCCATGCCCTCGCACTTTTGATAAGTGATGTTGAACTTTTGATTCTGTATAAGAAACTGTGTGCCAGCCGTTTGACAAGATTGGATGCGAGCATCTGGTTTATTGCACACGCCCGTAAAGCGGAATCGATTCTATAAACAAGTGTTAATTATAATTAATTAATTATACAGTTTAACTACGTGACCAAACTTGCCTGATATGTAAAATGCCAAACGCCTTCGAGCGACGAGCGACAATTGATTGGCACAAAGTTTTCGTTGAACAGGGTTATCTGCTGCTGATCATCTTTAATGCCCTTGCAAACGTTTTCAACGGTGGGCTCCTGGCCAGGAGGCAAGCCCACACATGGTCCCTCGAATTTCTCAAATATGTTTAATGTGCGAATTATCGTACGCACGCAGTGATAACAGTTAACGGAGCGCTCCTTAAACACAAACGAGTACTCGTCGCCGCGGTGTTTCTGGTAGTTGATGCAATAGCCACGAGTGGACATGGAAGTCGCATCGATGATCGTTTGGGTGGGCAAGCCGACCTCCCATGAGAACCACGAGCCCTGCAGGATCTTGGGTATAATGCAGTTGCGCTGCTCCAGCTCATTGAATTGTGCGTGCGCTGTAATTAAAATTTGGGTAGTGCCGAAATTATTGAATTCTCAATGAATCACAATTAAGCCTCGCTTTGAGGCTTGGGTGTGGCAGTAGCTCAAGTCGCTGTACTAACCCACGCTAGAGACGCCTAAGAGGCAGATGAAACTAATGTATTTGTTCATTTTGAAATCGCTTTACATAGACACTTTTATGTGAACATTTTTTAACAGAACACAACCCTTAAGCAATTGAAATTAAAACACAACTTGAGCAAAGAAAACACGCAACAAACAAATTTACCAACTTCTACGTATACGTTTTACAGCACTGTAGTCGCAACACTGAATTTTACAGCACTGCACGCATGTTCAACTAGTTGTAGTCGATTTATTTCGTACTTACAGTTTAAATTCAAATTGCATTAGTTCATAGCGAGACTCTGTCCTGAGATCAAAACTCAAATTTTTCCGACACAGACAAGCTGCAGACACATTATCTGATTATATTCGTTCTTAACCGCTATATGTTGTAATTAAAATGTCTGGCTGATTACAGAAATCACAACTTAACACAAGCTGAAGGGAAAACAATACAATTGCGCTAAATTTAATGCCGTCTGGTGCTCCTAATGCGAGCATTGACAGCTCTGACAGCTATCTGTGGTATTCCAATTGTCGCACGCTTAACGACCCGAACGCCCCCGCAATAATGACTAACACACATTAACATAAATCTGTTTAAAATACACTTTGAACTGTTTTCATCATTTTATGAGATGCCATAAATGTTTTCAGATAAAAAAGATTTCTGCAATCAAATGATTCACGCTTGGCATCTATGGAGTCCCTAGTTTTATTGGGACTATAGGAATCCGTTTCTGATTGCACTTTGGAACTTATTCAACTTTCTACAAATGGCATGTTGTTGATAAGTGTAGTCTAGGTACACACTTTTGTGTGCGGACCGCGTCGTGCTTATCACTGGGCGGTAAAGGTCACTCCGTGCATGACGAGCCCGTCGACCAGAATGTCTATTAAGCGGTCAGTGCAAATTTGGCGCAGTCTCAATTCGAAGCCCGTTTAAAAGGGACGTGCGCTCTTACATTCTCTTGTAAACTTAACTTTATATACGTCGCTCTTTCAAAAAGGAAACCCATTGCGGGACACTAAGGAATAACCCAATATACCAATTTATATTGCTAATCACAATCAGATGGGTTAGTACGGAGCGGTTATATCTGATCAAGTGTATGTTCAACGTGGCCTTAATCCTTTAAAGCAGCTGCAACAATGGGAAGTGGGCTGCATATGGAAGCCATTGATCGTATAACATCGATTCCTTTGGTGGAGTCGAGCGTTAAGCGTGTCGAGCACATCTACGACAAAGTCAAGAACAACAATCGCCTCTTCAGCTGGTACTTTGAGACGGCCGAGGCGACAATTAGTGCCGCCTACGACACGGTTCAGCCGGCTGTCAAGCTCTTCGAGATGCCCATCAAGCGACTGGACAATATGATGTGCAAGAGCCTGGATATATTGGAGCAGCGCATACCGCTGGTCTATCTGCCGCCCGAAATGGTAAGTGGAGCTGCGGCCCCATAGACGCCAATGTGGCATGAGATCCGCTTACATAGGCCATCATTTTGTGCTTAAAGATGTATTGGAATACCAAGGAGTACATGTCGGATCATCTGGTGCGGCCCGTGCTCAAGCGTGCGGATTCAGTTAAACAAATTGGAACTGCGGTGCTCGAGAGTCCCCTGACAACATATGCAGCGGATCGTATTGATGGCGCCTTCACAGCTGGCGACAAATTCGTTGACAAATATTTGATCCCCATACGCATAGACCAGGATCAGACGGACGGTGAGTGCAACTTAAAGCAACAGCTCAAATCTTAGACTTAATATACGTACGAAGCTGACGGCATGCAGCTCGTGGTTTATTTTTAAAATCCGTCGTCAGGCTTCACGTAAAACCAAAAACTGGCGTCCACCGAGGTTATCAGTCTGTGCTCCACATGAGTTTTGAATCTATTTGATTTTCATTTTGTCGCCTGCCTAAGCGGCGGCAAACAAGTCATGCGATAAGACTCGGCTCAACCTTATGACAAAAAAAAAAACATTTAAAGAAAAACCTAGGTATATCATTTAAAAATTATTTTTAATTTACTGCACAGCAGCGCCCCATGATGATGATAACGAGCCAGCAGGCGCAGCGTCCGACGAAAGGGGCGCCATTAAAGCAATTCATCACGGTCAACGCTTCTCTCGCAAGCTCAAACGCCGCCTGACACAAAGAACACTCGCCGAGGCGCGGGCCCTCAAGAAACAAAGCAAAGAAGCGATCCATGTGCTCATCTATGCTGCCGAGTTGGTAAGTCGAAATCATATACATACCAGTTACAGTTAGGCGCGTGTCGTGTTAACTTTCGGGATACACGGTACATTTCGTGCGTGTCACGACTTATGGTATGCACGACTTAACATTTGTCGAACATTAACAGAAATCTAGCATAAAATAATAATAATAATAGTAATAATAAAATAAATAATAAATATTAAAAAAATAATAATAATAAATAATTGCACAAAATTAATTCTAATATCGAAACTGAAAATGATTATAAAAACTTATTAGGTAAAAGCAATGCTAAAAAGAAAAATTAAACTAATTCTATTTATAAACTTTTAAGCGAGATTCTAACAAAGTTGCAAATTGTTAAACTGATAAGTTCACTTTTCTAATCACAAATATTAATTACGCGCCGGACACTTAGTAAACAAGGCTGAATCGACTTACTTAAATTTAATACCCAAAATTCCCAGATTGCCACAGATCCGAAGCAGGCGATGCAAAAGGCCAAAGAATTGTGGGGATACTTAAGTGCGGACGAGCCGGAAAATCAAGCCCGACCCGTGACCCTGGAACAGTTGATCGTGCTGCTGACGCGCGAGTCAGCCAGAAGAGTTGTCCACCTGGTCAACTTCAGCGCCAATGTAGCCTCAAATATACCCAAGTGAGTGACTTATTAAAATGCAACGAAGTAGCCCAGGCTAATAATAATAAATAATTTCAATAATAGACATTTGGCGCACACTACCACGGAGGTTGTGCATCACATAATATACATAAACAATCGCATAATCACAATTTCTCGCTTGGATAAGGTCAAGAGTATATCGAAAGAGGAAGCCGAATCTCTATTGAAACGCATGCTCGCCTTCTATGGCAACCTGCAAGGGCTCACGAATGGTTATCTGGTAAATATATTGCATTCTCCGGCTACGATTGTATTTTGCAACGCAATTTACTTGCAGGAACGTGTTGCGAGCTTTCTGTCCGGACGGATCGAAGCCGAGAAGGTGACGGGCAGCGAGAGCAACTCTGTCAGCAGATCCTCGAGAAGACGACAGGAGGCAAACAATTTCTCGCCAGCTCACAATAATATAAATGGAGTCTATTGAGAAATCGAGTTTTTTATTGCTGTCGTATTTTTGTTTCTAATCATAGAGTTTTGCTTTTGCTTTCATATTCGTACTAGTTAAACAGTTTTATTTGTTACATAGTGCATAAATCTAATATTAAAATCATTTAAATAAATGCTCCTTATAGTATTTCAATTCTACTATGCTCTCTTTAATGTCATCGAGGCTGCGGTGAGCGAGTTTTTTGGGTGAAGCTGCTTGGATAACCTTCGGATACCATCTGGTTGCCAGCTCCTTAAGAGTTGAAACATCTATGATACGATAATGTAAATATTCATCGACCGCTGGGTAAAATTTTCGTAGAAACAAACGATCCATATAGATAGAGTTGCCGGCTAACGGGCACTTTCTTTGGGGTATGTTTTCCTTAAGAAACTTCAAGAGAATGTTCTCCGCCAACTCGGGGGTTACCTCGGACTCTTTACACCTGTCCACCAGGCCAGATTCATTGTGATGCTTTATGCACCATTCGTTCATGTTATCGTACACGTGTGCCGCATGACGGATTGCGAAACATGGCCCCTCCGCTTTGATATTTAAATGCTTGTCTGTTATAATGCAAGCAACCTCCAGTATCTGATCTTTATCTATATCTAGTCCGGTCATTTCCAAATCCATCCAAACAATGTCTGATTGATCACCAACGGTATTATTGCACGTGCTCATTTTAATCACTTGAGTATGGCCAAGCGCGGGTATCTGCTTACTTTGAGATCGAATAACGCTACTGAATAAGGTACACAGGCGATTAAATACAAAAATCATTGATAAAATTATTAAATTTAAGTTTCCTACTGGCCTTACGACTTATCAATTTTGAAGTGACCAGTTTTCCAATTTAGGGAAATTTTAACAGCGTAGCAACAGCTGTTTGGTGCTCAGTAATGGGGGAGTCATTCTGTGAGTTATGTTGCATATAGTATTTAAATATTATTAGCTATGATTAATAATCATATTAAATATATTAAATAATATAATATTTTTGCGATAATGAAGTGCTATTGACAAATATGAGCAACAAAATTATAAATACAAAAACCACTGGCTTAACATTACATTTTTTGCAGCACTGCACAGCACTGCAAGTGGAATATTTGGTAACACTGGCTGTACCTTGTGCGTTTTCTCTACGTAAAACAAACGATTATAAAAAACAACATACATAGCTGAAACAAAAACACAAAATGTCCTCCTCGACGTTAAGAGATCAGCCCGGGACTTCAAAAGAATCGTTTGAGGACTTCTACACTGAAGTAAGTTGAGTGATGGTAACAATGCCGTGCCAGCGCCAAAGCCAACGCAGACGGCTGCGGCTGAGGCTCTTCCAAAGATAGCAAAAATTGAATTTCATTATACACATAAATAAACGATTTTGTGACTATTTTCGCAGGTGAAAGAAATTGAAAAACGCGATTCAGTACTAACTCCTACTCAACAAATTGATCGTTTACTTCGTCCAGGTTCCACATACTTCAATCTTAATCCTTTCGAGGTGCTGCAGATTGAGCCCGACGTCGAGGTGGCCGACATAAAAAAACGCTATCGCACCCTGTCCATACTGGTACATCCAGACAAGAACCACGATAACCAGGAGCGCGCCCAAATGGCATTCGATATAGTTGCTCGTTCCTGGAAAATATTGGAGAACGACCTTACGCGCAAAAAGTGTTTGGAGGTGTACGAGGAAGCCAAGGGACGCACGGATCATATGGTAAACATTCATTAGCCTCGATTTAGTCTTAAAGCCAAGCAAGTAATTTTGTTTTTAGATTGCTGAAAAACGTAAAAAACTTAAAAAGGAGGGCAGATCCTTTGAGCCCATACCAGAAGACGATCCTGTCAAATATAAACATGCCATTTATGTTATGGTTATGAAACTGTTTGCCGACATGGAACGTCGAAGGCAAAAGCTTGATCAGCGCGACCAGGAGGAACGCAAGCGAAAACGAGAAACGGAAATCGAGGAGGAGGAACGGGTCAAGGCGGATCGCGAATGGCAGCAAAACTTTGAGGAATCTCGTCAAAGCCGTGTTAATAGCTGGCACGACTTTCAATCTGGCGCTGGCAAATCAAAGAAAACAAAGAAACAGAAACATATGACGGGCATGATGGTACCGCCAAAGTTTAAGCCGGAGACACGATGAAATTCGCTTGTGCTCGTCGCTTGCCGTCGCGTTATTTTACACATATATTTTTACATTTTTATAAGTATCCTTTGGAATTGTAATTGACATGATTAGTAATTTGTAGTTTTAGGAAAAACAATTCTGTGTTATCATTTCACCATATTTCTTTTTGTGGCCTACATCTTAGAGTTCCGTGTATAAACTGGCTGTGAATACAATATCACGCTTTATGGCCGCGGAGGCCTCTTCCATTTTGGACTGCAGGCCAGGATTGCCTATCCTTATGGCGGCAGTTTTTACATCACGCAGCGTTTCGTCCAACTGCTGGATGCAGCGCACAATGATGCCCTCCTGCACCTCAGTCAGCTTCATGATCTCAGCAAAAGGCTGCCAAAAACAATAGCGAGTTGGTGAAAAGGTTTTAAGGGATTAAGGCTGAACTCACCTTGTTTTTGGCCCACTCATAGACAACCTCGAGCAGTCCAAAGTTTAAATTATTCTCTGCCTCGATTGCCGCTTGACAGCGCTGCTCCTCGGCCAAGATGGTGTCATTGATTTGCTCGAAGGCAGCAACGCATTTCTTGAGTGGCTCTGGTATAACAGGCTCGCCTTGGATTTTGGCCTGAAACACCAGACCCGATAATAGCGCAGCTATTTCCGCCGGTTCCAGATCGTTAAACATATTGCAGAGTATCAGCTCGGTAATTAACAGCTCATTCTGGCCCATCTCGCAGGCGACCTTGCCCTTGAGCGTCACCTCGTTAAGCTCATCGATATAATTCAGGGCGCGCAACACCTGCAGCTTGTTGCAATAATCCGGATACAGGGTTAAATTCTTAGCCGAGTTCTTGAAGCGCAGCTCTTCTATGTGAATCTCCAACACACGCCTCTCGTAAACCTTGGCGAACTCCTGCTCAAATCCAGCAATATTGGTGTGTGGCAGCACATCGCCCACCTGGCGTGCTAGATGATCCACATAGTTCAACATGGCCACTTCGCTGTCTGCATTTACATTTATCTCCTTGGACATGTTAACGTATTTAATGCTCTCCGGATTGGCATTGTATGCCTCGTTAAGCTGATGCAGCTCCGTGACGGCTTTGACGACTGTGGCACCAGGTGGCGCATCCTTGAACCGCTCCAATTGCCGCTGTTCCCAGTTGCGTATGATGACATCGGCATCCACTTTGATTGTTGACTTTGTAATCGTTATTATATCGATGGCTCTAATGTCCAGCACGGTGTGTCCGCCAATTCCCTCTGGATGGAAGAACTTGTGCTGTGGCGTCAGCGAGAGAATTTTGTAGTAGAGCTCGCCACGATTGACGTTGTCGCTGTCATTGCTCTTGAATTGATGGTCCAGCACCAGCACCTTGTAGACGGTGTCCTTACCCAGGACGGACTTAACATTCAGCAATATCGCTAGCTTGTTATAGTGCTTGCCCTGGGTGATGACAATGACGCGTCCTACTTTCAATTCCTTTTGGATTTTCGGCTGGGTTACAATGAATTTCTGGAAAAAAACAGTCAAGAAAGTTAACACTTTATTTATTACTATAGGTAGTTGCAACTACTGACCATTATGCGATGCTTCTCCTTCCAGTACTCCACGGACTTGTCGTAGAAATAGATCAGCGGCTGCAAATGCTCACCTAAGGTGGGCAGCATGGCGAACTTGTCCTCGGCCAGTTGCAGCAG